CGCGGAGGAGGTCGAAGCAGCTGCTATTTCGCCGGCTGGCAGCTGGAAGGCTTCGGGAGCAAAGCTCGCAACAGAACGTTGATTCGTTTAGTCAGGTGTTGACATTGTGTCGTTGAACGTTTTCTCCTGGGTTCCGTGATCATGGGATGCAAGGCAGTGCAAGCTTCAGGCGTGTAGCTTGTGGCCAGTAGAAAACAGCCTTGGCGCATGAAGCTCCTGGCAGGAGAGCCTTTTCTTGATGCTCCGTGAAGAAGCGGCCATCACTGATAGCCGTGACTCTGGAAGCATCACATATCGAGGAAACATCCGAGAGGGAGCAAAGAATTGTTGGATCTCTTTTCCTGGAAAGTATGCTTCCGCTTGGAAAGCTTTGACGGAGGAGAACCAGGGAGACTCGGTGGCTTGTGTGTTCCTCTGCACGAAAGAAGACGGCCTTTCCCTCAGTTGTCGGGGTCCATACCCGTTGCCAGTGCCCATTTTTCCGCGCGTGCTGGACTTGAGAGCCCAATTCATTTCGAAGCCCGCTAGTACACGAAAGACCGCTTGGAAGACGCCGTGTGAGCATGCGCTGTGGGTTGCTTACTGAAGCCCTTCCAAGGCCTCGGTGTGCATCTGAAGGATCCTCAAGAGCACGAGTGGGACAAAAGCAGTGGACCTCGATATGAGATCGACGAGGAGTCCGGGAAGATCAAGTTCAGACCTGATGTTGTGAAGGACCCGAAGAAGCCAGTGGAGAAGTGCTACTGCCATCGAATCTATGGAAAAAGGGGCTTCAAACAATTTGGGTACTACCGGGAGCTGCGAAGGCCTTTCACCCCACAGAGGGTGCAAGAGGAGACTGCCACAGCCGAAGCGATGAATGCCGCATGGGTCAAGGAAGATGCTGATCCGGCGGTGAAGGCGGCAACGAGGGAACGAGCCAGGGCCATGTGGGAGGCACATGGCGGCATCGCAGCTTGGGGCTGCGCGTGGTTTGAAGTGTGGTTCGATAGAGTCACAGAAGCGGTCTCCAAACACCAACGTCTCAAAGCAGTATTCTTCCCGGGGCAGGAGGGTCAGGGAGTTGTACCCATGGATCAACTTCCGGAGGCAGACCTTTGGGATGGGATTGGCTGTGGAGGCTCGCAGAAATCTGAGATTGCCACAGTGAACCACATGAGGGAGACTGAAGGCCCACGCTGGGACTACGACGAAGTCAGCGTTGCAAAGTTCTTACACAGTGAATTTGCAGACGGCTCCGTGGTTGAGGGCTGGTGTGGGGAGGAAAAGGTGTGGAAGAGAGGCATCTTAGAGCATCAGGAGATCGAGATGCGGAAAGTACGACGGGAGGAAGATGGGGTGACGCGCATGGTGGAGGTTGCAGATGTCGTCTTCGATATACACTGCGAAGGCGAGACTGGGAAGCTCAGAACCAAGGACATCCGCCACGTGGGCCGGATTATGGAGGACATGATGCAAGAGTGCGGTCCGGAGCCAAGAGCTATGCAAGTTGTCGGCCTCAAAGCATCCTATACCTACCGACGGACATGACACGCTAGAATCTTGTCACCATCTAGCCCTCAGTTCCGTTGCCCCGGGCTTCGACAAACTCTCCAGACCTCAAAGTACTCACAAGCCGACCCTCAGATCGTCTTTTGCGGCGTAGGTTTGTAGGGATCAGGGTTTGTGGGGGCTTGGGGGGGGATTAGGGTTCATTTGAGGAACTCAGAGTCTTGAGGAGAGATCATCTTTTTCGAGCAGCCCGGGGGAGGGGTCAACTGTACGGGCTGGAATGTGTTAGCCTTAGAGCCTGGAGGCATGTGCATTGACATGCAACATGCAGCATCCAGAAAGGTGTTAGGGTATCGGTCCGGCGTTGATTTGATATTGACGATGCTGCCTGTAAAGTGGCTAACGACTAACATCGCATTCTCATGCCGACATCTGGCACTCACTAAATCATTGCCGGATAATGCCGGATAGTCCAGATCAGTTGGAAGGAGTGCTGTGGAGTTGACTCAGGTTTGCAGAACGTGACGCAATCTGCACGGGAGTGCTTGAAAGATACGAATATAAAGCTGTCGGGGTGCAGTGTCGATCATTGGGCATTGCGCCTGGACCTCCTCATTCAAGACATCCGCTCTCTTCAAGCCCTGCGTGATCGAGTTTTAGATGGCTCCTTCGAAAGGGAGCTGACGCAGAAGCTGGCTCCTGATCAGACTCTTAGGGTGCACGTGGACAAGAGCCGGTTCTTTACGCTTTACGAAGATAGCTTGCAAGGCCTGGAAGGTCTCACAGCTCATCAGGCAGAGAAGCTGGAGGAGATGGAAGGTGAGACGGACGTCCATCTTTCTGCTCCGGCCGGGGCTGGGAAAACTTTTGTTGCGATGCAGAGAGTACTGGAGGCTCTGGGTGGGCCCACCTCAGATGCACATGTCCTGTATGTGGCACCCTCGAAGGCTCTTCTTTTGTTTTTCTTACGATGGCTGGCCATGCGCCTGACACCCCAAGAAGATGCAGATGGGCCCTCCAACTTTGAGAACTTTGAGAATGCTGTGCAGAGGCTTTCCTTGCTTCACCATCCATACAAGAGCATCACCTTGCCGGGGCTCCAGCAAGGTCGAATCATTCTGCGCCCCGGGAAGCTGGAGGCGGAGAAGATGTTCCATCTGGCCGTCTACGACGAGAGCCACAAGATCTTCGGTCAGGAGGCCGTGGACAAGACTTTGCTGAATCGCGTGAATGCCTTGAGGCGGCTCTTTCTATCTGACGAAGCACAGTCGTCGGCCGTGCTGCACTCTTTTCCCGCTGCCAAGTGGGTGAAGTTGTCTGAGGTTGTTCGCAGTACCCAGAGGATCGTGCTGGCCGCGGCGATGTTCCGATACAGCTCCGATGAGAACGAAAACGTCACTTCTCATGGCACGTCCTTGGGGCCACCCCTGAAAACTTTTCTTTTCCAGCCGGATGATGAAAACAACAGGTTTAAACAGTATGCGAAGCAAGTCGTGGCGGCCCTGTGGCATGCTGTTCGAATGTTTCCGAATATGAGCCTTCATGGCCGCATTGCAATCCTAGTTCGGGATCAACACTTCCGGCGTCAGCTTTATTTGCACTTGCAGCAGGCTCTGAACGAAGACCTCCGTCATCGTCGCTTGCAGATACTGTCTTTCGCAGAGTCGTTGCTCCAACTTCCCGAGCGTCTCCTGAAAAGCTCATCGCAGCAGCACCGAGAATGCATTGTATTGGATTCTCTGGAAAATGCCGATGGCATAGAACAACTCATCGTGATATGCGTTGGCCTTGATGAGCCCTTGAAGAAAGTCGGGCATCAGAACTTCTGCTCGCAGCTCTACAGGGCACTTACGAGGGCACAGCTGCTAGCGATGGTTGTAAATGAGCACGTCCAAGGTGGTTTGCTAGAGTTTCTTGGAGCAGTCCGCTTCTCCGACCGCAAGGCAGCGCGGCCCTCGAATTGCCAGGAGGTCGTCCGAAAGGCTGTGTATGAGAAGGAAGCGTCGGAGACTGGTACTGCCGAAGCCGAAGCCTCCGAAGCCGCCGAAGCTGCTGCCACGAACATGCCGGCTGATGGCTGCCATGTGGAGACATTGCCCTCAGGCCCCGACACAACACCCTCGAAAGCGGACGCAGCGCAGCCGAAGCCCCGAAGTTCTGCCACAAGCAAAGCTGCGGATGCACGGCTGTTGCAGGCACAAGATTCTGAGGCTCCGCAGATGACTGATATCTGGGATACTCGTGATAATGCAATTCCACCTGCGACCACCGTGCAGTTCAATCCGATGACGCAGGCTGGCAGAGGAAAGGGGGGTTGCTAGGATTCCTCATGCAGACGAGAGACTGTATGGGGTTCAAAACTGGTGAGGTCTCAAGCCACAGTCAAGAGCAGGATACCGGGGGAGTTTAATGGAAATATCAAGGGCACTCGCCCACTCTACTGGTGTTTATTAGGCAGATTCTCACTGCATATAGTTGTTTTGGACCGATGGTGCAGCAATGCTGCCTGAGGTGTGCGAAAGGTTGTTCCTGACAATGAACCTGACGGAAGCGGTAGCTCTCCCAGCCTTACACCACGACGACGAGACCTCTTTTCATGGCCTCATCCGGCCTCATGCCGATGCGTGCTGGATCAGTATACCTGAGGATTTCGAGGCTGCATGGAAGCCGGTTACAGAGCTGCACCACGACCAATCCGTGGCAGATGTCTTATGCTGTACTCAGGAAAGCGGTCCATGCCTCAGAACCGGAATCGTGCATGCCCAACCAACTCATGGTCTTGTATTACTCGCTTCTCGCTGGCTGCTCTGGAACAAGTCCTCAACCTGTGACTGTCAGTCTTTGTCGGATTCATGTCGAGTCGTCTGGATTCAGCATGCCGCAGAAAAGGAAAGCTTGACTATCAGGCGTGAGAATAGACTGGCATTGCAACGGTTTAGTCAGTGGGTGAAATCCATCGCATTGTACAGCTGTGGCCTTACCTCCTGCATGCCTTAACACATGACCAGGCATATAGACTTGAGTTGCTGAGGACTGGGCCAGCATGTCACAGACCCTGAGAACCCTGGCAAGTGTTACTGCCCTCGGATATACGGCGAACGCGACTACCAAAGGTTTGGCTACCTCTGGACAGCGGACGAAGAGACCGCGAAAGGCCGAGCTGCAGAGATGGCCGCGACGCAAGCTGTGATTGTACGTTCAGATGCCACGGACGAAGACAGAGAACGTGCACAGAGGATGGCCGTAATGCAATGGATGCGATGTGGCAAGACGGCTTCATGGGGCTGTGCTTGGTTCGAGAGATGGCAGTCAAATGTCTGCAAAGCCGTCTCGAAGAAGCAGCGCCTTTTGGTGGCTTTTCTTCCCGGACAAGTGGGACAGGGCAAAGTGGCCATGTGCGACCTTCCAACGGCCGACCTTTGGGACGGAATTGGTTTGACTGCGAAACAGAAGGTGCAAGTTGCAATCGCGGAAGAGATGGGCTGGGAGTATGAAGCAATTGATGTTTCTGATCTCCTAAGGACTGCGTTTCCTGAAGGATGCCTCGCAGACGGAATGGATGAGTCTGGCTGGTGGCGACTATGCAAACTGGGACAGATGACTTTTCAGGACGAAAAGTTTTCTTGGGCTGCAACTTCCCTGGACTCACGGCAGGAGTTCAAGGCCATACGTGTTCAACATGTAGGACGCGAGATTCTTTCTCTCATGGACACTGTTGGCCAGGGCCTGAGGATAGCTATGGTATATGGCAGCTATATGGCTGAGTGTCCAGTGAAGCACCTGTCGTGGCGGCGGCAATAGTGACTCACTAGTGACGATAGTGCAAGCACATCTGTTTTTGAACCTCCAATGTAAACTACAGGTGAATTGACAGAAGGAGACCTCAGCAAGGAAAAACTGAACTGGACAGGGGAGCTAGATCTGACTCAACGAGGCTCCGGGATCAGTGGAACATCGAGCCGTTGAAGTGCGCGTCGGAAGAATTCTGTGCACGCGTCACCATCGAGATTTTGTCAAACTGACTGAACTAGGGGAGTGGCATACGATTCAGCAGCTGGCTGAGCTGGCAGCGGGCTCGACTCAACACAGGTCGCAGATGTCACCACTAGATGTTCAAGGCCTGTTGAAGGGCACGCGTGCGTACAACAAATGTGGTCCGGGCATGAAGTCAACAGCAGTCCAATGCAAACCTCCGGCATAGATGTAGCGGGATGGGCCAAGGTCCTGACTATGTCTTTGACTTCTTATGTCGGGGACTCGTGGACACGGAGGTCTTGCAATGCGAGAAGGCAGTCGCCCCGAGGGGTGGGCATGCCCTTTGCATAACCATCCAGTGCTCCAACTCCCACGCTCTCCAGAAGCTCCGGCAGAAAATCATGGATGGTGAACTGGAGCGAGTCTTGAACACGAGACTCCAATCCAAAGGCTGGCGCTGGCCGGTTCAAATAGACAGAACCCGCTTCGCAAAGCTCACTTCGGCGCCCAAATTCGTCAATAAGGCGCTTGTCTGATTCTGTAGCCGGCTCGAGCACTCAGCATCACAGTCTGAGAAAGGATCCCTTCCCTGGCGTGAGCTGGCAGTGGATGCACCGGACCGGCTTTTGGGCAGCAGTGAAGCAAGTTCTGCGCCGAGATTTTCCTGATACCGACCGTCCTTCTTATCTGAGGTTGGAGAGACTACCCTCGCGACGTGATCATACAGATCGAGCAAGCTTATCGTGCCGGGGAGGCCAAAGTCCATTTTCAAAATGGAAAGAGGCTCGGCCTGCTTGCTGTTGGCTTTTGTCGTGCTTTTTTCCGCGCAGATTGCCGGACGAGCAGGTCGTGCCTTCTGTTCTGCTTCTTGCTATTAGTTATTAGTATTATTTGTACTGGTACTATTATTTTTGTTGTTACAGTTGTTATTGTTGATTACGAATATGAATATCAAGGTTCTTAATCTTACCTTTATTGTTTTCCTTGCCCTTATCCGTATTCGTCATATTATTATGGTTATCAGTATGACACACGATTATGAGTATTATTGTTGTTGTTCCTCCTGTGTTTTAAGAAAGAAATGGCACACTAGTCTGGAGTTATTTTTCTTCTTTAATGTATTGCTTATTACCATTTTTATTTTGTTATTGTTATTATTACGAATGACTATTACTAGTTATTAATCACTAGTTTCTATTGCTAGTAGTATTTTAAATGCTATACTCTGAGTGTGTTTGTTGTTTATATCTATGTTTTTTGGTTATGGTCAGTACCATGATTATTATGACAGTTATTGTTCTTTGTCGCGCTAATTACAACCTTTTTTGTTGATTATTCTTATTGTTATTGGCTTTCTTATCACTCTTCTTAGTACCTGTTATTGATATTACTATTGTTATTTTTATAAATATTATTATTTTTATTGTTGTTGTTGTTGTGGTCGTTGTCGTCGTTGTTGTTGTCGTCGTCGTTGTTGTTGTGAGTGTAAATATATTCTCACCAGTATTCGAATGATTACTAGCAGTGTTAGTAGTGTCCTTGTTTATTGTTACTCATCTTATTCTTCTTACTCTTTCTTCATCATCGTATGCATGAAATTTGTTATTCGTACTACCATTAGTGTTGTTCTTTTGGCTGCTCTGAGTATGATTATTATCACTGTTGTTGTTGCTGCTCCCTTGCAGGACAGGATCCGAAGCCTTGGAGATTTCATTCGAGGCACGGCACTTTGCAGAGTAGCGCCCAACCTGACAGCTCGGGTCTAGCGACGAGGGTCCGCAGCGTAGGGTTTAGGGTTTAGGGTCCAGCGAACAGGAGATGCTCCAGCGCGATCCCCTCAGCCCCGACACCCGGGAAGTGAAGAGGTCAGGTCCATATGAAAACTTCGGATACTCGACGGAGAAATGTTGGCGACGGTTCGTAACAGTCTCCGCAGGGCGTCCTTGTCTGTTTGGGTTTGTGCTATTTCCTCGGTGTTGTTGTGCCATTGGTTCAGTCAAAAAAGGGCGGTTAGAGATGAGTAGGGTTCTGCAGCGGAGCTACTGGTACCTCGAAGGCCTTTCTGACGGGTAGCACATCACATCCTGCGTTGCATCTTCAATGAGCACCAAGGCTTCGTAAGCTCCTTGAAAACCTGGAGCCCCGAAGCCGAAGCCCCAGGAGACTCCCCCGAGTATGAGATCGTTGTGGACAAGACCTCCGGTGCGAGGTGCTAGCACAGATGTGGCGACGACTCAACTTCGGTCGGTCTGAAGCTTTTCAGTACTGCGTTCGGAGTATTGGGCCATGATCTGCCGAAATGAAAGTTCCAACAGTAATTGTCCATCTCGCAGGAGGATGGACCTTGTAGGAACTCTGCTTAGCTGCTCTTGGTTTCATGTTTGCCGAGAGGGCCACTAGATTTAGGCGGAGAGAGCGGGCTGCCAAGACCCATGCAGTCGGGTTGACTTGGGAGTTCGGATCTGACGGGCGGGTCAGAAGCACTGCCCTTTTTTCTCAGCCTCTGTAGTCTCCCCTCAATTGTCTATAGTCTGTTGGGGCCCTACGCAAAATCTTCGGCGCCAACGGTCGGAGGAATTCTTCAGGATATGCTTTGAGGAGGGCTCAGTTTGACACCACTTATGGGGGACGAGCTTGGCAGAAGGTGGCGAGGTACAGTGGAAGTCGTGGGGTGTTGTGACATGACAAGGCTCATCAGTGCAGAATGGAAGCCAGAATTCGCGTTTTGCGCACTCTTTCCTGCAACTGACTTGAGGGGCTCAACAAAGCACCTTAGCGTTTGTCGTTGCCACAGGCTGGGCGTGGATGTGGAACTCGAGGATGGGCTAACGATGAAGATTGCCAGCGAGGGCCTCGACACGCCACTGCAAAACTGAAACCTGAAACCGAAGCGGGTGGAATTGGGTGAGGTTTTGGGGCGGGGGGGGGCATGAGAGCTATTGTTCGGATTTTCTATGCTGCGCTTAGATCGGACACTGCCGAAGTTCTTAGCTGCATGGCCATTCTCATTGGTACGCCTGCTGACAAGAAAACAGTTCATGAGTAGAGTAGCGGCAGCCGTCGTCGGCCCATCGTCGTAGTCGCAGTCACCCAGTCGTCGTCGTTGCGGTCGTCGTTAAGTAGTCATACTAGTGGTAGTGGTCGTTGTGGGCACGTCGTCCTAGTAGTATTAGTAGCAGGAGTAGGAGTAGTAGTA